CATAGTTCGTGTCAAAATTGTTGCGATGCTCCAGAAATGTCTCATAGCTGACGTTGAGAAGACGATCTGCGACAATATCAAATACACCATATTGTGCTAACACAAAAGTTTGGTATTCATGAGCCATGACAGTTATGTTGCTGCGTCGAAAATCGTTCAGCGTTTTTATTTGTGGCTCGTAGACACTCTTGCTGAGTATGCTCGATAGATACCCAAGGTACAAATTGGAGAGAATGAAGCCGTTTAGGTAGAGCGTCAGGAACATAGTTTTGCGCAAAAGTGAGCGCAAGGGTCGCAAATTAAAGGTTAAGCATAGAAAGCTGGCGCACACATCTAAGCCCAGCCTGCCGAAATGCCACTCGGCGCTTTGAAGCCATGTCAAGAGCGTAGTGGCAAGTGTTACCAAGCAGATGCTGGCAGCAATCGCGAGCCATGTTTTGGCCTGAAATGGCACCTGGAAGTAGTAGAACTTTGAAAGCGGCGGAGCGTAACGTACCATCAAGTAAACGTTATACAACTGTAGTGGCGTACTCACCACGCCCTTGGCGCTGTAAATATCCCACTCGGAACAGGCGTCCACTAATCGCGTGCGCAGCTGTTCACTGCATACGTTATTTATACTTGCATTAAAAGCGCCAGAACTAGGCATGAACGAAGGTTCAATTGTAGCGTTGTAACGCTGGGCGAAGGCGGCAAAAACTTGCGCCGCAGCGCCGCTGAACTGCCGCTCGCCGGTCCGCGGATGCCGATAGATTATTGTGTGCGGTGGGTCGTGTGCGTACAAGATGCGCAAGGGGTGTCCGTGTAGATCATGCCAGCCATTGCGTCGATTCTTCAGATACGAGGTCAGGGTAGTGCTTACCACTCGCAGTTGTGGAAAGGGTGCTACGGTTAGAAGTTGGCCGTGCTCATCTGCCAACAACAAATTGTAGAAGCCATGTTGCCAACAAAACTCGAAGAGTGGTGTCCACAAGTCGGTGTGCTTCGTAAATGCATTCGGCCAAAGGAAAAGCGCATCGGCGTGGTAGAGGCGCGCAAGTGTGGCGAAAAATGTGTGCTGCCAGCTGATATCAGTGGGGCTTTCGAGTAGAATCAATGCCAATATGGGCATATCGAAGGTATAGCGTAGTGCGCGGGTAGTATTTGAGGTTACAATAATTTTTGGCAAAGTCAAATTTGCTATGATTGCTGCGAACTGCGATGTTGCTTGGAAGGCGTAGACTAAGTTTGTAATGGCGTGCAGCTCTCGACTCAAATTATTCGATAATTTGATGATGTCTGTGTTTTGTGCGTAGCAGTGTAAGATGAGTAGGGCACAAAAGGGTACGGTTCGAAACATTTTCCGGGAAAATCACTACGTTACTCGCGTCGCACTGAAATCGCACTGAAATGTACATGTTTTCCAGTTGTCTTCCAAGTGTTTGAAGTGAAAATTCTACATAGCTGTAGGCAACATTGGCGCATTTAGCAAAACATTTTTAATTTGCAATGCTTTTAATCACTGGGTAGCGGCAATTAATAGTAGAGGCGAATGACCCAAAGGAGTTGAATGTACAGATATATTTTCACCGCCTAACCCAGCCCGAATAAATTTAGATAGCAGTATCCAACAAAAGTTTTAATTTCTAAAAAATTTTCAATGAGAATATCTTTACGCATACATATGTACATATGTATAGCATATCTTTATGAACACATATTCGCAATATTGATGTCATGTCTACTCACATAGGAGTACTAATAATTATTTGCATTTTACCTTTAACTGATAAAATCAATACGCTGAATATCCGCTTTGACAAAAGTTCAGAATTTTTGCACGGCACAAAAATATTTTGAAGCTTAATTATGCATTTAAATATTTATATTGTAAATTTTATGACAATAATTAATAATGCTTGGAACACAATACTACCGGTCTACAAGTTGTTTACCGTCAAAGCATGAACGTCAAAGTTAAATCGATACATGAAAACATGGCGATTATCCACTTACACACACATACGCAAGTTTCTGGCCATTTAAATGGCATTACAAATATAATTTGTTTGCCGATACCATTTCTACATACACACATTTATCGTTACAGTTTTCTTATCGATTAATGTATTGTTATCGATGGACTTATCGTCATTTCAGTAAGCATATCCGATATGTCGATATCGTTGACATATCTGTAGATTCGTCATCGATATATGTTTTTATTGGTTTCTGTCAGCGATATATTTATCGATATATGAACATATAAAGCATTGTGGTGATATGCATATAAGTTGATGTAAATATCTATCGATGTCCTTCATAGTCCTTCTCATACCCGTATTCATCTCCCTAGCATGAAACTGTAATTCCATTTCGTCAAATTCGAAAAACGTTTTTGTATCGGGAAAAAGTATCGAGTATTTATGTACTTGCAAGTATAGGTATCAGGTCACTACTAGTACCAAAATGACTCTTCAAATTGGTATTTCAAGCCTAGAAATAGAAAGACTGATCAATATTCATGCACACTCATCCGGAAACTCAACGCGATTTTTTAGCCGGTTGAAACTTATACTTCGTTAGAGTAAAATTGAATGGGCTTCGAAGTGCATACTCCAAAATTTTCTAGAAATTCTGCAGAAAAAGTTGAAAATTTTTGAAATTTCTGTGAACTTTATATAAAGTGTGAAACTTTGATTCAAGGGTTTATATTATAGAATGAACTTTATTTTCATAAATAATTAATGCAAACAATTTTTCATGAAAATACTTATGCATATTATATTTGAACAAGGTGTGCACTTTCATTTGTCGCCTAGTGTATATGCATAATGTTTATATTTTCAACTAATATGTAAATAGTTACTTGTCACTTGTAATGACAAAATAATAAAATCATGTACAACTCAAGCACGAAGTTCAACTGCGTTCAAATACACATAAAATTAATTAAATATCGGCAAACAAACTTCAAATATTAAACAAGACTTTGACGCATAGAAATATACAAACGCTAGAACCTCGTCAACATTTTCATTCGAATTCGATTTGAAACGGTGTGAATGAAGTTCGTTTGGAAGAAAAGTAATTATTTAAATATGAAAACATTATTTCGAGTTCGCCTACTTTGAAACTTGTCAAAGTTTAGAGGTATATTTGTTTCTAAGAAAACAGCAGCAGAAAAAACGAATGGCTCATTTTCGCATTGAAATTCATATTGATTTCAAAAATGAATAAAGAAAAAAAGTTTAAGCTGTGTGTTTAAAGAGCTTTCACAAAAAAGAAAGCTTTCACTCATTTTAAACTCAATAAAATTAAGCGTAAAAAATGCAAAACTCACAGGCATAGATAATAATGTATTTCTCAAAAATGTTGACACTTAAATCAAACCTTCAAAAATTTCCATAATTTTTAAGCTCTTCCAGTTTAAAAGAATATCTCCAATGGATTGTGTATAAATAGAGTTTTTGGTTGCTTATTGGGCAATTTCTAAAATCAACACCGCGTATAGTGGCAGACGGTTTTAGCGCACTGCTGTTGGAATTTGAAAAAACGTCAACAATTTGCCAATAAACAATCACGCAGTACACACGATGTATTGATGAGTAAATATTTTAAATACATATGTATTGTATGTGGTTATTTCTTCTCTGTATTTTTAATTTTTTGTATGAGCCTGCGCTTTGGAGAAAAGTAAACAAATTCCTTACATGCAAGCAAATAATAAATACATAATAATTTAATTAGCGTACAAATTAACTTTTACGATTTATTTGCGCAAATTCATTTGAGAGAGAAAAAATTGTTGAAATATGTGCGTCTTTCAAATACACAATGAAACTAAAAAAAAAAAAAAAAATATTGATTAAAATTGTATAAAAACCGTGGAAGGTTAACGTGGATTTTAAATAGTAAGTGCAACAGTAAAATATATATAAAATAAAACACAATTTATTCACAATAAAAAAAATTCAAAACAAAAAAAAAATTAATAAAACCAAAAAAGTTGTGTTTCGAACAAAGTGTAAACAATCGTATGCATCATCATCAAAACATCTCATGGATGCGCGGTGTATTCATCTAGGGCCGCTTACTTAACTTGTCAAAGGTTTCTCTATGATAAACTGAGCTCTTCGTCGTCTGATTTTCAGTCGTAATATACGCTTTTTGGAACCGCTTTTTTTTTGAAAAGGCGTGGTGTATATTTGTATGCACCGGCGGGCTTCAGCTGTTTCGTGTGTTTCTTAGGTAGCTTTTTAACAGTAAACTAAAGTAAGTAAATTGAATCAAATGAACCAAACAAAAAACAGTAATATATACTTTGATTCGGGAGATATTTTTGAGATTTGTTTCAGCGCAAAATTTTTTTTCGGCGTCGCTTATCTTTTAGGTAAATGAATTGTAAATTTTCTCACTCATACATACAGGATCGGTCATATCAATAGCACTCCAGTTTCAAAGTGATATTGTTTGGCACTTATGTTTATTTACCTATTTTTAGAATTTTCAATTAAAATACAGTTCATTCTCTAAAAAGCCCCATAAAAACCCATGTTTAAAACGGTAATAAAGACAGTCACAACATTTTCATCCAAGTTTCAAAGTTTTTTCTCAGAAGTGTTAGAATTTGTTTGAGCATAGTTTCAATTTTAGTGTGTAAGTTTCAAGTGGCTAAAAATTACTGTTGATTTTTTGTCGTATTTGCCCCATGTAACGACTAAACACAATATGTTTATTTTTATATGAAAGAAAACTGCAACACCTTCGGCCAAAAAAATCTAAAAAATCAACGTTAATTTTAGCTACTTGACTTTTGCACATTATTACTCTAAAACTGAATGGACTATAAAATTGTATACTCAAAAAATGGTAACACTTCTGAGTAAAAAGTTTGAATTTTGGGTACAAATTTACATTTTCATAACTGTTTATATCTGTTTATAAAAAAAAAAAAACGATTTCCGATTTGTCTTTAAACATTGTCCTATTGTCTTTTTTTTCGCAAAAAGTTCACTTACCATCAGGAGGTAAATAATCTTGGCATAGACCGTAAGCTGTGGTAACCTGAAAAAAGTAAGAAAAATCAATGAAATCGCAATTAAAAATGTTAGTTATCGTTATCATAACGAGTACACATCGTAAAAATTTTTATTATATTTAGTAATCTTATCAATCAGCACCGCTCTAGCTACGTATAATATGTATGTATGTACAATGGAAATTCTTTTGCAAATATTTGTAGAGCAGCTACACACCTTAAATTGTTTCAAACACCAGGCGCTTCACCATATGTATTAGAAAAGCAAATTTGCAAGGTCGCTAGAGGATTGATACGTTCTATAAAAGAATTCTTCGGAAAATTTTACTAGGGGTCTTCTCAGGCAAAAACTTCATGCCGCCAAGGTAAAAAAGTCTCTATAAAATTAAAAGAAGGAATCTATGCTAATAAGGAATAACAGCCAAACTCAATAAAAAAAAATTGTAGAACTAAGTTTTTTTTGTTGATTTTATATTTTAATTTTTTAGAGTCTTCCACGTTGGTGGCAAGAAGCTTTTGCCTGAGAAGGCCACTAATAAAATTTTCCGAAGAATTCTCTAACGAACTTCCAAATTTGCTTTTTGCAGTGTTTAATGAAGTAAGGTTCAAAACGGCCCTATCAGGCGGGAGCTAATGGGTTAAAATGTTTTAGGAAAATATTTCCCATGAAATTTGATTTCGCTTAGACATTTTTGGTGCTTTTTAATACTACTTAGGCTGGGACATGAAAACTTTATAAGGCCAGAAAATAAAAATACGAGCTAATTTTTTGCAAATCCATCGAGTGTTTTATTACTGGATATGTATACTTTTAGAAAATATTAGCAAAATTCGGACTGGTTTGAATTGTCATAAAATTGTCGCACAGTGTTATTATATATATGGGGCTTTCCATACCAAAATGGACGGCTTCACACTTCATGTGTTTGATTTGTTTCAAATTTTTAGGGTTGATGGACAAACAGAAATAATAAATAAATATAAAATTTGAGCTTGATTAACACATTTTTTAAATCTTTACAGCACATAAACAAAAACAAATCGTTTTAATAGTTTTCCATATATCTCGAGAACGGGACGAGGAAAATATTTAAAAACTGACACATACACACATCAAAATTCTCTATGAAAAGAAATAATTTTGAATTTTTTTTTCTTGAAAAATTTTCACACAAAAATTTTTTGAAAAAAAAAATTGTTTTTTGAAAATACCCCATCTCAAAAAAAAATCACAATGGTAGCTCTGATTATTGCGCAATATTTAAGACTAGTATTATGGGGTGCACTCTACAATAATTTGAGTTATGAATTTTTTTTACACCGAAGTTGAGTAAAATGAGTACATTACAAATTTTTAGAATTCTTTTTAGAATTTTCTTGAGTATATTCTATTGTAGCCCATTAAATTTTAGTAAAATAAAGTGAAAGTGATTGCAAAACTGGCGTTAATTTTTTTTTTTTAATTTCCTTTGAAAACGGTTTTGCGCATTTGATTCTATAAGAAAAAAGTGCAAAAAGCCGTCAGCATAAAAAACATTAAAAATCAACGCAATTTTGCAGAAACTCAAAACTTTTTTGCAAAAATTCTAAAAAAAAGTTAAAAAATTTTTAAATTTGTAATTTACTCATTTTACTCGACATCGGTGTAGAAAAATGTAAAAAAACAATCAAAACTTTTCCTCGTCCCGTTCTCAAGATATTTGGAAAACTTTTAAATCGAGTTGTTTTTGTTTTTGTGCTGTAAAGTTTTCAAAAATGTTTTAATCAAACTAAAATTTCTTATTTATTTATTATTTATGTTTGTCCCCCTATGTTGTCAACCCTAAATTTTTCAAACACATGGAGTGTGAGCTCCATCCATTTTGGTATGGAACGCCCCATATATAGAAGTTAAAACAAAAAGTAATTTAATTCTTGGGAAAAGAGATATCACATTCAAGTTACATACGTACATATAGTAAATACATATTTGCTTCGGTTAACTGACTTTTTTGTTACCTTACCAGATTCATTTGGTCTCAAGTGGCACGGAAAGTTCAATGTATTTAATGATAATACGTAAATGAAATAATTACGAAATATTTCCGCAGGTATATCATAAATCTACAATAACCTTGGTACGTATGTATGTATGCAAGTAATTTTCGCAGATAATGCGGGGATTTTTAGTTTAGTTTCACTTGGTAAGCGAGGCCGAATTTACAGAAGAGCTTGCTTATCTTAAGCGTTTTCTGTGCCAGTCAAAGCAAAAGTTATCGATGTTATTCACTAACAAAAGTAACTACATATAAGTAATTTAAAATCTATTTCCTTGTACATATCTATGTATGTATATGCTTTAGCACACAATTTTTTCTAAACTTTTATTCCGAACGTAAACCAGAGGAAACTTAATGTGCACTATTAGATATTTATCATTTAATTAACAAAATCTAAATGCCACAAAAAAACTTCCATCTTCACAAGCTTGTCATTAACAAACGACAAGAAATCATTTCCGTAACGTAGATTTACGGATTTGTGATATTTGGTGGCGATAAATCTCGTGACTTGCGCTGAGTGTACATACTTACTAACAGCTAGCTATGATGGGCTCCATGCGTGTATGTGGCAGCTACTCGCCAGAAAGCCGGTCCAGCCACCCGCAGTGTTGCGGCATGCGCGCCGTAATTGTCATCGTTCGCGGCTTGCGCTACCTATTAGCCGGTCGATTTCCTACTAATTTATTGCTGAAAATGCATTGATTTACACATTTTCATTTCCGTGCTTAAAAATGTGAAATTTATGTTTGAATTTTCTTACAATGGCTTATTCTAAAAATATATACATACATATTTATGTATGTACATATGCATGTGTTTCTGCAGTTTGGTAACGTCGCAATGGTGGCGCCATGGCGAGAAATCAGTGTTCAAGGTGAATCAAGGTAGAGTGGGCTGAATTCATGGTTTTTAACTCATTTTTGTGATATTTACGCTACTTAAATTTTATTCTTCTTTAACTAAATATTTGATAATTTTCTTATGGAAAACATCTTAACAATTTCAAAGGGTGATCACTTTTTGGTAACTGATTTTTTAGGAGCAATCTTAGGTTAGGTCTGAGTGAAATGGGTGGAGAGTAGACTTCCCCATATATACAGTGCTGGAACAGACTATAGCCGCACCACATTTTAACAAGTTTTATGATGTTTTTGTTTTTCGTTTTTGATTTTAATTTTTTTATAAAAAATTAGCTTTGATTTTTTAGACTTTTTTTGTCGAAGATTTAAAATATAAAAAGTAATTTTTAGTCATTTAAAACTTGTACTTTATTCCATTAGAATTACATGAGCTTTAAAACAGCATACTAAGAATCTTTCTAGGAAATCTAATTAAAAAGGCTCGAAATGTTTACAAAAGTTTGTTCATTTTTTTTAAATAATAATTGCACAAAGTTTGAAATTTGGATTTAAACGGGTTTTGTTAAAGAGAGAACTATATTTCTATAAAAAAATAACCAAAATAAAATAAGAAAAAAAATAATATGTTAGAACTTGTCAAAATGTGGTGTGGCTATAATTTGTACTTATCCAAAAATTAGCCCGTCGAGTACACACTTTGTTGACGCTGTCAAATAATAGTTTGCTAAGTTTGGGACGCCTTGAAAGAATAGTTTGCCAAGCGTGCAAATCTTCTGCTAAAAACCAAGCAATGGCTTAAATTTCCTATTCTTGAGACGTAAGTTTTCCGGTTACCCTGGCTATTACAGAATATTAAATCCTGTTCCCCCTTCAAGCTCCGTGTTGTCTCCTAGATTGCCAACACTTTCGCTTGCTATGCATTGCAGGGGCCGGGCCGTTGAGCCGAAAATATGGTAAAAGCAAAACTAACTTAGTCTTAACTGGGTTGTCCTCCAAACCACGGCAGCTAGATTATCGGAAAGGAACCAGAACCCCCACTTCAACATTTTCCAGATTCCTAAATATTTGTCTCTATTGTAGCCTTCATGCGCTGCAACAGTTGGCTCACTGCTATGATCCACTTGGGTGCTCTTGTTGATTACGTCAAACGAATATCTATTTTTAAAACTATCCACGCAAGTTAGCAGGACAGCTTCAAACAAAAAACCCAATTAAGCCAACCAGCTAAACCCAAACTAGTTTTAAAAAATATTCCGATTGCACTGTCAGCATTCCTTAATTTCAAGTGTTAGACCAAATAAAAAACCTTTCCCTTGGATCTACTTTTGCACCTGTAGATAGAAGAGATGGACTTTTGGAGAATATGATATGGGCTACCGAAATTACCTCCTGTTCTTATTGACCTAAAGTCGCTTAAAAGACTTCTAAAGCCCTAACTGTTTTTTTGAGATTACCAAAGCGCTTAAGTTAGCAAAAATTTCAGCTGTGTATGTCAGATGTGTATCCAATTAAAAGAAAATCCCTCACAAATACAAATTCTATATGTAAATACAGCTAATCGCGACCCCGTAACTTCTAGATATGTCACTTCGTTCAAACTATAGGAAGAAAATTAAATCGTGGGACTAAATGCATAATAGAAGTGTTAGACAAAGTACAGTTCAAAGTTTTCCACACCTATTTTTCCACCACTTAGAAATTTCCCATTCTAAGCCGCTACTCTCTCCCTTATAAATATAAAAAAGAAATTCCTTCCGCTGCCTATTAGTGAGGGTGTAATTACTTCAATGAATTCGAGCCACTTAAAAAGTAAGTATGTACTTAGCTCTTGTCATCCCTTTTCCGACGTTTAAACGCCTAAAATACTACTACAATGCACGATACTGATATTATTTATTTCAGCAAGAAGTTCTCTGTTAGCTTGTTTTATTTATTTTTTGTTTTTACAGTTTGCCTTGTTCCCTTTCCTTGCAATAATTTTCCTCCTTTTTCTTCCTTTCTAGTGTAAAAGTAGGTTAAATTAAATTTTGAGTAAGCAAGCCGTCTCCCTTCAGCGCTATAAATTAATTAGATCATATTTAAGTTCACTTCCTCCCTTAATAAAAACTTAACAAGCGTAATGAA